TGAAATGGCACAGCCTCCCGGGTGCCCTTCCCCTTTCAGTCACGGGGGCACTTTTGCAAAACATCCTCTTAGATAAAATTCTTGGCACCTATGACGTTTATGCGAAGAAAAACGTTATCTTTCTGGGTGGTTCTCTCACTAGGGTGGAGAGAACGTATTTGGTCAAGCAAAATGATCCTTGTGCCTTACCTTCATTCTTACCCAAATCTGCTCCACTGTTCAACCTAATTTGCAAATTAGGCTTCAAGGTAAGAAATTCTTGCAGATGAAAATCTGAGAATGCCGTTACCCTATGCTGTTGGTGCTATAGCTTCTTTTGTAGTAAAAGGTGCCTGCTAATACCCTGTGAAGACTTACTATGTTGCCATGTTTTCCTCATGGCAGCAGCTTAGGGTTGCTGTGGGTTAGCCAGGAGCCAAAGTCAGTTGTCTGGAGACTTTCTCCTCTGCCTGCCACATTTGTAGCCTCTCTGGCCCCAGGTTATCTCACTTACCTGGTGAAGCTTGGTAGTAGGTAGTCATCTTTTCTGAATGCAAAAAGGGTGTGAAGCCAGAGCTGAAAGTAGGAGGGAGTGGATTGGAGAAAGGACTGTGGGGAGAAGGGGTCAGGCCTAGGAATAAGGCTCCCTGGATGACTGCGACTGGCTGGGCAAGGGAGGTAGACTAGGTGTCGCAGAAGAGGGAGACTTTGACTTAACACTGAGAGAGGCAAAGTGACTGGATTTCAATAGGGAGGGAGACATGAGACAATGACATCTGGCTAAAATCCAGGGGAAAGAGGAACTTGCTAGGGAAAAATGCTGAGGGCTAGCAGACGTGGAAGAAAAAGTTGGGACTAGCTGGGCCAGGAAATGAGAACCTGAGGGTGAAAGTGTGGGTGTACTTCCATGCCTGTGTCCCTGTTCTGCAAAATCTCATCAGATACCGTACAAAGCATGTCTGGGAAACACCCAGATCCTCCAGTAAACGTTGCTGAGAAACTGTGATGGGAAAAGATGTACCTTTTCCCTTCCAAACAAGGTGTGGTAAGAAAGCGTAGGAGTCATACGTTAACGCAGAGGAAAGTCAAGTGCCGAGTAGTCACTCACTGAAGGAGGAGAGTGTAATGTGACATGAGGGGATCTTCCAGCTTTTTGCAAAAATCTGACCGTCTCAGGGGAAATGAGATAGAGGTCCATCCCTTGAATGGACCCTCAGGCACATGCTGGCTATGTCAGAATCCGTCTAATGGCAGAACTTGAGCACGGAGAGCCACCAGCTGAGGATTTCACCTCATTTTATTGTCTTTGCCATCTGCCATGGTGAAATAGCCCTTTAACTTCTAATGATATCTCTGCTCTCCTTCCGTTTCTCTCTTTGGATAGCGAACGTGAGGCAACATGTCGTTGCTCGTCGTACAGTCTAGCATCTCCCCGAGAGGACGGTTCATGCGATATGGGTCACACGCTCCGTTGTGCCTTGCTTGGCAGACCTCTGCATCCTTGCCAAAGAGCGCAGGCTTCATGGCAAAGTCGAATCTTGCCTCTGGGATTGGAGAAAGCTTTTAGGACAGGAGCACAGCCTAGGCCCGCACTGAGTGGATATGCAAACCCTTAAAGCTATGGTGTGGCCTGGGATTTTTTGGCCAAAAATCTCTAGTTGCAAGTGCATCTCTTCCATCCTTCTACTCCGCTTGTTGCAGCGAGCTCAGCTTTTCCTTAAAGCGGATGGACATTCGTGTGGATTTATTTCCATGTGCGAAACCTGAGTGTACAGTGACCGAAACATAGAGCACCACTAGGTGGCAATGTAACAAACCCAAGGCATCGTTTTCTGTTTTGGCAGCTGGTCATTCTTTACCTCAAGGTGTGAAATTTTGCCTCCCAAATTTAGAATGACAACTGTGGGAGCTGTCGTTTGACCAAACGAAGCACAGGCAGTTTTTTTGATCTGAGGAGCAGGAACCTCTGCATCAGGTCCTGAAACTCCCTCTTCTGAGATTTAATAATTGGCCTGTAATTAACTGAAGCAGCAATTGTCATGCTGCAGTCGTAATGTTTAGCATGAGGCACAGGGCAACCTTTTTAAAATGCACCTTTTTGTCGGTGAAGCATTATAGATATTACTTGGGTTGTATGAGGCTTTTGGTTTGCTAAAGGAATAGTTTTTGAGATCTTAAAAAATGATGATCAAACCATAATTGATGTGCTGTGTAGAATAATCCCTTGAATGGACCTTGTGAACTCTCCAGGAGCTAGATGTTTCATTAAGAAAGATATTTAGCCTGGTTTTGCTGTCCTCACTTGAAGTTCAAGCACATCTTAAATTACTCTGCAGATTACCAGCATTGCTGTGTGGTTTTTTTTTTTTGTTTTTTTTTTTTTTTTTTTTTTTTAGGCAGATGCTCAAGCTATCTCCCCTTCTCTCTAGTCACCTTTCCTAGGGTATTACCCACAACTAGTAGCAATGTTTCAGCCAGTTTATAGCAAGATTACCACGTGGGTTTTCTGGTCAACTTCTGCTTTCTGCTGTCATAGGGAGTTGGCCTTGAGTTAGAAACTCTCAGGAGGCCTTGGTCAGCTCAGGGCTTGCTTAGCTCTGAGGAGAGAGGAGCTTGAGGTGAGCGGGCAGGAGCAGGGTGGTGCATCTCCAGGCTTTCTGGAGGCCAGGCTCCAGAGCAAGCAGGTGGCCAGGCCACCGAGCTTGCCTGCAGGCTGCAGTGGCTGCCACCATAGGCTTAGCACCTTCTATCCCATCCGGACATGTGCAGGCCTGGATCTCGGAGAATGTCCTTTTTTTTGCGTGTAAAATTAACTGTTACAGGATACAGCAAGCGTAAGGCTGTTCTCTGCCACATCGGAGTCCTGCTTTCAGATGTGTGGCTGTATCTTCTGCTTATATGTTGATATGTGTGCTTTGAAGGCCTGCCTTCAAAACGGTAGGTATACCTAGAAATAGGTATAAATGTTCCAGATGTTTTTTCTTCAACCAAAAAAATTTGTTACCCTCCCAAGCAAAGACCCTCTGCCCATGCATACATAGCCAGACCTTACAAAGCCATGTCTCCATCCCCATCTTTCCTATAGGGAGCCAAGATCCATCTTGGCCCTGTCTTTAGGGGACTGCCCCAGCTCTTGCCTCTGACAACCGCTGTAACAGGCAATCCCCAGACATATGCAAGCATCTTCATTTAGCTTCCCTTTTTGAGATTGCGACTGCACTTTCTCTGTGGGCATTGCCTAAAAAGAAAGTGGGACATAGCAGATGATGAAATGAAGACTAGGCTGTGTGGCAGAAGTGGGGGTGTGTGGGTGGGGCTACATCATGTGCCAGTCTCAGAGGATGGCAAGTCTTTCTGTATCTGGCATGCGGAAAGGGGTCATATTACTATTTCCAGCTGCGGGGAGTCAGAGAATGTCCTATACCAAAATATTGCCTGTTCTACATACTCCAGAAGGAAAGGGTGCAATGCCCTTTATTTAATACAAAGCTCTGGTGCTGGGTAACAGGAAGGCAAACAGGACACCTACGTGGCAGAGTTTAGTGCTGGGTTTCTTCAATTAAGAGAAATTTCAATCCCTCCTCACCTGTCAGAGCTAAGTAAGTACCACTGCATGATATCTGATGTTGCATGTAATACAGCTGCCTACTGTTTTTAAGACTTAGCATGAATATGCTTTCCCAAAGGTCCAAATTTCTGTGATGGTGGAGTGCCGTCCTGCTCCAGGTTCAGTGCTCCCCCAGAGAGCCCTAGCTCTGTGTAGGGTATAAGGACCAATACTGATATTGTCAGATCTTTGGGGCAGGAACCATTTATTTAGGGGAAGAAGTTGGGTATGAAGGGCATGAAAAACTCCTGATTCATGACTGGGTTCAGTGGGCACTAGTGCTGGTGTGTGTCCTCATTGCAAAGGTATGTGGTGCATTGGACTCCCACCCTGCCAGATTTGCAAGTGGCCCCTTAATTTTAGAGCTATGTTTAGTGAGCACACGGACTTCTAAAATATTAGGGCTTATTACAGTTGATAATGCTGTAGTTTATCACTTCAGAGGGAAACAAAGGCTTTTTGCTTTTTTTTATAGTTTGATTAATGATTAAATTGAAGTCTGGGACTACAGATTGGCTTGGTTTGTTTAATTGGTAGTATAACACAGTGAAAATGCCAAAGATATTCAAGTTAGTGTTAACCAAAGCCTTGCGTTTCTCTGTGTATGTTGCTACTGTTAACCCCACAACTACTTGCTTTAAATCCAAAATAGCCTGTGTATTTGCTTGTACAGGTCACTTAAACTAATGCTTGGGATAAGGAGTTAACAGCTCATCTGAGTCAGTCTGTTCACATACAACTGACCTGTTTTTGAGGTTTAGGGATATACTAAAAACTGCAAGTTTAAAATTTAATTAACTCTAATTATTCAGAATTCATTCTAATTTCTTCTAACTTAGGATATTTTTTAACCACTCCTGTTATATTCAAGGAAAGAGAGGCTGTGCAGTAAACTCCTCCTGTATGCTTTCCAACTGTTCAGTTAATTCATCCTTTTTCGACTGATTTTTAAAGGCTCTTTTTCACAGTTCCTAGCTGGCCTACCAGAGCTCCACTCTTGCCTGAAGCTGCCAAGTAAAAACCTTCTTTTTACCTACTCAGGTCCAACAATCTTATCTGGGCTTATCGCTCTTAGCAGCTTTCATCCTAGCTCCCTCAAATGGAGACCAAGAGGAAGCAGTTGCTGGGACACAGAGATAAAAGAGAATAGAAGCAGGACACTTCACTAGGCTTTAATGCATATTAAAACGGGATTAATGTGTTTTCATTTTCATGTTGTGCTTTATGGGCATCTTACTGTACTTCTGGTGAAGTAAAGTGACCTTTAAACCTCTCAGGAGTGGATTGGGGAGGGAGCTGCTAGCACTCCTCAGACTTGAAAGGGCTGAGTAGTACAATATGTATCTGATGTTAGTGCAAGGCTGGTTTTTTTTTTTTTTTTTTTGACTGAAGCTCTGTTTCCCCTTTTCCACAGGGATTCCTGAAGAATGAAAAAGATAATGCATTGCTGTCAGCCATTGAAGAGTCTAGGAAGAGGGTAAGTTGGAAATAAGCACCTTTTTTAAAAAAAAAAAAAAAAAAAAAAAAAAAAAGGAGAGGCGAGAAGTAGCGTGGGAGAGAAAAATCCTGAGGAATGGTTTTATAAATCGAGTGTTTAACAAACTGAGGGAATTTAGGAGGACTGTGTCTTTCATAGAATACAAAATAATTAGAAGTTAGGAAATACATGCTTAGACTTTGCAGAAGAAATAATTTTGTCACTTGTATTTTCGTGGCAGTATTTGCTAGGGTTGGAAGCTCATAGTGTTAAATCTGAGTTTGTACAGAGCAGCTGTTGTATGTTAGGCACAGCACACTTGCTCTGACCCCCCTATATGAATGCTGCTTTTTCTAGAGATGATACTGTCAGGATACTGGATTTATTCCCCCCCCCCTTTTTTTTTTTGTTTTTGCCCTGAGAAATGCCTTGTGCTATGACTTTGCATTTCGTGATGATGCTCAATGAATTGTAGCCGACTCTTAAGGTTACAGGAGTTGAAGTGTGTTGCTTCCTGCATATGACAATATTCAGGCCAATGCAGCAGCAGTACTGTAAGATTTAACTCTTGTGTCCGTAGAAGAGCTGGAAAAATCATAACTGCATCACACTGTCCAAAGCAAATCTCTTATACAGGCAAACCAGTCCTCAAAGCAGTGCGAAAGAAATTGCTACAGTAAGAACGTTAAGAGTTCCCACTTAGGGTCAGTAAAAAGGTTCTCCGAGATGAGTTTTTGTCCTCAAGAGGGACCAATTCCTTCAGAGTCTGTAAGAAAAAAGGCAGGTATGAAGTGAGCCTTCCCTGGTTCAGCTCTCGTCTCTTCACCCCGCAGCAAGCAGTTGTTTTGAGCGTTTTCTGAGCTAGAAGTTATCTGACATGAAACTTATCTGATCCTGTTCCTGAATTTTTTTTTGCTTTTGATATCTGTCGTATTCTGGGGCAATGAGTCCCACAACTGAATTATGCAAAATACTTCCTGTTGTTTGTCTTAAACGTGCTGCCTGGAAATGTCAGAGCAGGTTTCCTACTGCTTATGTTATGATTATGTTTTCCTACATGTACAACTGGGACATCACATCAGGGTTAAAACTGAGCCTGTGTTTCTTTCCAATGATAAGAAATAATATTTACGCGTTATTAAATTGTTTTAATTATATGTGATTTACTGCACTTATTGAAGAACATTTAAACCCCTATTGAAATGATTATAGTGAAGGTAAGAAGACCTGTATTCTACATGAAAGTATAAAATGTTCTGTTTCTTTCTTGTTTTCTTAATATACAAATTTTAGTCTCATTGCATGTGCGCACCATAATTAAATGTTTGCCAAATGTCAGCACCTCTTATCAACTCGTTTATACCAGTGAGCGTTTTGCCCTTCAGTTGACAGTATTCTAACAGTGGGCCATAACGAAATGAAAAATTTATTCAGCTGGCCAAAACATGTAGGTATGTATGCTGTGGCATACAATTGTGCAAAAAGAGAGAGAGAGAGTTGGGAAAAGTGGAAGATCCCATATAGCTTATTCTAGTAGAAATAGAAGAATATTTCCTGTCCCTGTATACCTGAGGCTGTTAGCGTTGCAGTAATGATAAAAGGGGGAAGGGCTGTGAAGCGTCGTCTCTTTACTAATGCTATTGCCAAAATAAGGAATATTAAGCAAACTTCTTTCCTTCCGTGAGTTCTGCAGTCAGAGCTGAAGACACTGTAGCACATCAGCCTTTTTAAAGGTAAAAGTATGTTTGTTCTCAGGATAATCATATCCTATTTAGTTTCCTGACTTTGAGGCTGAGCGAGACTTTCTGGTTCTTTGGCACTGGTTGATTTTTCCTTAATAATTTCATTTTTAGTTTAAGATTCTCTTGGAAGCTTCTTTTGCAACCTATTTCCCATTTAAAAGAAAAACTTATTGGTAAAAACCTCAATATAAAATATGGGAAATAAACACGCATCTCTCTGTTAAGAATGTAATAGCAGTCAAACCTCTAGTCTCCACGGAGGTCAAAAGTTAGCTGTCGGTAGAGAAAATAGCCCCCACAAACTGAGCGGATCAGTGATGACCTGGAAATTGTGCACGCACTCTTCAGTGGCCAACTGCAAAATTAAGGAAAGACCGTTGTTAGCTGAGAGATGGGCAGAAGGCAAAGAGCTCTTACATCCGCGGTTGTTACCTTAGTCCTGCGCTCTCTGTGACGGAGTCTCTCCGTTCAGCATGTGCTGCTGCCTTTTGTGCTCTCTTCTGCTCTGTTGCAAAACAGGAGAACAAAAGCTGTTGGTAGGTTTAGGTCTGTATTCAGATGTTGTGAGGCTGATATTTCAAAGCCAGACCTTTCATGCAGAAGTTGCAGCTGTAACTTCCAAGGGAAACGGAGAGCTCAACGAATTCCCAAAGGGGGATGCCCGGCAGTCGCGAGGTACTGCTGGATACTGTCTCTGCCTATCGATTTCCAGCCTATTAACAGCTTTCTGTGTATTATAATACCACTGAAGAGGCAAGGAGCCACTGTTTTACCAGCTAGACCTGTTAGACTTGTCTTCATTTCACTTGCACCTGCTTTCCTGAATCCCCTTGAACCACCAGGCATGTTAAAATAACATGTAGCATGTCCATTAGCTCTTGAGGGCAGACCGAGTTGACTGAACTAGTTAATATTTTCTGTTTTAATTTTAAGCTGGTCTATTAATAGCAGAGCTAGTTAGTGGTTGCACGTTGTTCTCTAGAGGCTGTTTGGTGCTTCTGTATATTCCTTAACTCTTGTTATTCACCAACAGACCTTCGCTATGGCTGAGGAGTATCACCGAGAATCAATGCTGGTTGAATGGGAACAGGTGAAACAACGGATTCTTCATACTCTGCTTGCATCAGGGGAAGATGCCCTTGATTTTACCCAGGAAAATGAGGTAAGTCTCGATCTTTCCAAACACTATGCGTAGTCAGGCACAGCATGCACACAGCTAGCATTCCAGCACTGCTGATACCACATCAGGATTATTGTGTAGATGCAACTATGTGAAAAAGAGCAATATCAGATCTCTAGTTAATTCCAAAATGGCTATGACTGGCAGAATGCTTTGCCTGGCAAAATTTCAAACCTATGCTCTTACCTTTCAAACTGCTGACCCTGCTTGAGCAGGCGGGTTGGACCAGATGATCTCCAGAGGTCCCTTCTGACCCCAACTATTCTGTGACTGACTGATTGGTACAGGCAATGGAGCTCCTATTGCTGAACCTACGTATTATGCCACATATGTACAGTTTGGAACCTTAAAGTCGTGCTAATGCATAGTAGATCAATACACCCATGGGACAGAAAACACATTGGGGTAAATATCTTTGGGAAACTTTCTTAAATATAATGGGATCAGACAGTTTCTGAGGTGTAACTGTACTCTTCTATAGGCCTTACAGTGTCCCTTTCCAATATCCGTCTCAACTTGCCAGGATTTATGGCTTTTCTCAGGAGGGAGCTGAAGTTTCTCAGGTTTCTTGGCAAACCCAAATGAATATTAAAGTAAGAAGATGCTGTTTCATGCAGATTAAAGTTTTGTGCCTCTAAGACCTCTAGTGTGGAGCAATTCAAGGTTAAGATAACCAGTAGTGACCAAAGGCAAGGAAAAGGTATTGACTAGCAACTTAAAACATTCCTTATGCTGTGTTACATCTTCAAATGTTACCTCTTACTCCCTTAAAGAAAACGTTCCAGTTTTCTGAGTGGAATAACGCACAGTTACACGCAGAATTGTGCGGACTCCACCCCTCTGAGCTAGAGACATTGGACATCAGCTGAGTTCCCTGGAGCACAAAGTTGCATCACAGCCCGGCACGCAATGTTCCAGGCAAAACCGTAACCTTGACAGGACGGGGTAGGAGGTGGGGAAACATACTGTTTGCTTTAAGACCAGAAAAGAGACCCATTTTTTTTTTTATTTTATACCCGTGGTTTTTCCCTCTTTTTTGTTTTTTTATAAAGTTCTTGTTCATTGGAGCAACTTATGGGGCTGCAAACTGCATTAAAAAAAAAAAGCCCTTGGTATTAATGGGCTATGACCTGTATAGGGATTTGGAAATAATTAAAGTTGTTAATGAAATGTCCCTTTCTGATTGCTGTTCTTTTAAATATAGGTTAATCCTAGTTAGCACATGTCTTTTTATAGAAGCTGTCGTCTTCAGAAAGTGTTTTACTGGTACTTTACTGTGACTTCTCAGCAGGCTGTCCAGCTTTCCAATATTAGAAATGCTAAATAATGCAGGGTGAATTCATTTAAAACTAAAAGCAGCTATCCCATTATCTTGGGATGTGAGTCTGAAGCCTTGACAGCTACACTGATAGCTTCTAACATCTTCGATTTGTGAGTTATTGGTTTGGGGTTTTCCTTTTGAAGCATAGCTATCAGCTGCTAGGAGAAGCAGTGTAATCTACTCTGAAATGGCAAAACCTCTTTTCTGATGTTGCAGTATCAAAACAGACACTAGCCCCAGTCCAAGGCGCTTGAGATGCCAAGCATCAACAGTTCTCATGCATCAGTTTAAAGGCTGGATATACGCTATCACTTGGTAATAGTCCACTCTCCCTTTCAAAGCGTTCATCGTATCAGTATGTCATTTCAAGAGCATTTAAAATTCTTGATATATTCCAGTCTTAGCCTCAAGAAGTCAAAGGTCTGAGGGGTTTGAAGTGCATCTACTGTGTTAAAAGCCTGTTATCTAACCTCCCCACAGCAGGTTGTTCTTCTAAAACCTTGTTCCAGTCAAATAAGTTTTGTGTGTGTGTGTGTGTGACACAAACAGACGCAGCTTGTAGAATATAGTAGAGGTTTAATTGATATCCTCTGGAGATGGAGAATCAGCTGAAAAGGCACAGATCCAAGCGCAGCAGGGGGCTGGTCTGCCTGCGAGCCAATTCTCAAGCTTTGGGCAAGCTAATTTGGGCAGATTGAAATACCAACACATTATTCATGGAAATAAAACCAATTAACAGGCGAACCTCATGTTTGAAAGAAGCTAGCACAGAACTTGCCACTAAGGTTTTCTGTTCCCCCTTGTCCACCAGTCTGGCACTTCTTCCTCAAGAAAAAAACAGAACTAATAAAAAGATGCTTCTTAGGGAAAGGGAGGAAAGCCTAGATTTTTGTCTTCAAGATACCAAACACCTATGTTCTCAAGGTGTTTGTTCTGCATCTTGCTCCACTAGGTTCTGAGGTATGTCTTTTGTCCTTTTCTTTCAGGTTTTTCTCTCTTCCCTTCCACCCTTCCAGCTTTTCCGCTCCTGCTGTCTCCTGGAGTGACTGAAACACTGTCGCTCTCAGTTTTTACCCTACCCACTAAAATCCCAAGCGTTGCAAGATGCTTTCCGCTCCCCCATTCGCAGCAGCACATATTTCGATGGTGTCTCTCCAGCCTAGTCTCCTGCGTAGCTTTACACTGTATCTACTGGCCAAGCCATTTGGAGCGCTGACAAAATGTCTGCCCAGGCTTCTGCTAAGGAATGTGCCTGTGCATATGCATATGCGGGTGATGAATAATGCATCTTTATGTGCATGCAGTTCGGTGCGCGAGTGGCACTGCATGCTCGGCTGAGTACAAATAAAGGAGGACTCCTTTGAAAAGCAGCATCGTTAGGCAAAATGAATTTAAAGATAAAAACCGTTTTCGGGAACGGATAGTATTCAAAATAAGTACTACAGCTCTGAAGAGTCTTTTGGAATGGAGCTAAATTCAGGGCAGGAAGAAGCAAGAATGGTTCATAAAAACTGCACAAGCCATTTAAGCAACAGCAGACTGCATACAGAGCAGGACATGCGTGTGTGCACGTAAACTTCTTCAGTCCTTCGTGCGCTACCCGTTTCTCCTTTTTTTGCCTTTGCTGCTTCAGTTGTGCTTAAGAATCTGGCCTAATACCTGCATCTCCTAAGATGCACTTAGCTGCTGTTTTCATCCAATCTTTCGTAATAATCTTTTCCCTGCTTGATAAGTTCTGACCTGTTACTGAAGGATGTCCACCCCCTTCCCAATTCTCCTCCTTAACTGCAGTGACGCTGCTTTAAAATTGGTCCCTAGCTCCGAAAGGTCTGTCTGCACAAACAGCCATTTTTGCAATTCCAGCTGAAGAGTGGAAACGGCCTTCCCCATGCTGACTCACTGATTTAGTTTTTCTTTTGAAATTTGCTTTTAGCTCAGCTGTGAGATGGTTCAGTGAGCTCAGGTTTTTAAGCTTAATAATTCAAAAACCAGAATGCAAGTATGAGATGGAAAAAATAGGAATTGAAGTTACTCCCCTGGCTCTCTCAGTAGGAAATAAAAGCATAGGAAAAGCAAGAAAAATATTTCTGGCGTTTCTGGGGGGGTGTGTGTGTGTGTGTGTGATTTTTTTGTTTGTTTGTTTTGTTTTTTTTCTTCTCCTCCTGAAGGGCCACATTGGTAGTGGGCATTGAAAGAATTTGCTTTCAATAGGGCAGTTCTCAGTTGTGACAGATTGTTAATAAAAGTGATCCTCAAAGCGTACTGGTTAGGATAAAATCAAAACTGGAGAAGGGAAGGAGGGGGGGGAAACGGGACACCAGAACCCCCGCACAGTTGTTTGTTAGTTTTAGGCATGCGCTTTTGAATTCTGATCTTGATCTGTGGGCTTTCGCCTGTCGGTCGTGCTCCGTTCTCCGGAACGGCAGCCGCATGGATGTTCCTCGGCGCTGCAAAACGGCAGAAGAAAAAGGAACGAGATGCACAAAATAAAGCCCTAGTCCTTATGCTTCTGGTGTTTGGGCACTGATTGAGAAGTGACACCGAGTCACAATGTACCCTTCTTCTCTTGCGTTAGAAGATGAAACCTCATCAGTAGTTAATGACACTGTCCATAATTTAGTATTGCTTTAAATAACTCTGCGATTTATCTAGCACAGCATAGGGGAAGGCTGCGAAGTGCTATTTCTACCATCACGTCTGTTTCCCAGGAAACCTGCTTTAACAGCTTCTTTGTTCTTTAGAACAAAGCATTTGTCATTTTTTTTAGGTGGATTTAAAGGAGTGTGTGTCAGATGATTTGACACGGAAAGAAAAATAGTTTCGAATATCAGTGTCCATTAGGATTGACTGTGAGGAATATGTTTAGTGTAAGTTTAGTTGCAAAAAGAGTGGGGTTTTTTTGGTAAGTTATTTTGTTTATACTACCTAAGATCTAAATACATCTGTCTGATTTTATCATTAGGTTGGTGTAATTTGACTTTCCCTATTGCGGAGAAATTAATGCAGTGCTAAACACATTCCAGAAATTTATTTGATAGTTTAGGTTAAAAAGATGGTTCGGGTTCATTTTTGGTACCTTCATTCATTTATATCATATTATATCAGGGACAAACAAAACTCGATATTATTTTTTTCTGTAGTCAGCTGTTGTATGCTATGCAAAAAGCATAAATCACAAACATCACAAATTTTTCATAATTTCTGAGTAAATATCAGTGCCCTTATCCTTACTCATGCACTCCTAGCTAACTTGAACAGCTTCTTTCCCGTTGCAATCCTGTGATTGTATGTGTCTTTAAATTTTAAATTGCTTAAAATTTTCCTATTCAAAACTCCTGGACTTGGGCAACTATAGCCATTGTCTTAGCAAGAGCATATACTTAGGGATGCAAAGGTGCTACTACACAATAGAAGATAAACTAGGTTAAACTGGTATCAAATTAAACAATTTTTCCCTCCCAAATGCTTGAGTGTATAGACTGATTGGCAACATGTTTGCAAGTTTATAGGTTTGCTTTCCTTTAGTTTCAAGTTGGGAGGGATACAGGTCACAAAAATGTGAGATGCTTGTGAAAACCCTATCAGCATTTCTTCCTCATATGAAATGAAGAATTATTAACAATATCACTCTCAGGAGAAAGGATGTCCCTTTCTTAGAGCTTCCCCCGAAATATGTGCAAGCCAGGTCGTTTAGGAATGTGGGTCCTGCCATACTGCAGCATGCCAGGTGTCAGCGAAGCTGAATTTTTAGGCTGATTAAACAAAAGTAAAAATAATAATATTCTATTGCGTTTGGGCTTTGTTTAGGTTATTTGCTTGCAAAGGCAACAAGTCAGTCGCATTTAACTGAACTCTTCCAGGAAAGGCTGTAACATATCCTTAAGCAATACTTGAAGGTGATCCTGTCTGCACATTAAAGTACTAAAACTCTGGGTAAATGCCATAAGGGAAAGTAAAGCCATTTGACAGAATCGATAAGGGGCAGTATGCAGCTAGCCATAACCAATTTCGGGAGTTAAAAAGCTTTATTTAAAAACTCTGTAAATGTACCTGCATTTTCTTAGAATAAGTTATTGATTCCAATTTACAGGGATATGGATGAACCTGAGTTATATGGTAATAAACCAAGGCCTATTCTCAGTGTTTGCTTACAGCTGCTTCCAGTATTTCGCTTATGTGCTTTGCATCCTCTCTCCTGGGGGAAGTAAACAGCCAGCTTAGAGCCTCATAATTGCACCTAAGCTAGACATCTAAAGTAAGTTAAGCAAGGTTTGTGTGGAGAGGTGACATCTCTTATCAGACCAACTGTGCCTGAGACAGTCGAATGAGCTTTTGGGCTGAAAGCCTGAAAATCAAAGGCTGTTGCTTCAGGTTCAGTGCTGAAAACATGCTTGCTTTCCTAGAAGCTTGCCTGTTCCTCCTCCCCGGCTCCAGCTCTGTCAGAGGGCTTAATAACAGATATTATGCTTCCATACTAAGCTTGTCTCGCTTTTATCTTCAGACCATCGTGGCTATCACACCGCTGTGGAAGCAGGCAATATTAAAGGACTGCTTTACCTCAAAGGGATACGTCTTTAAAATGATAGTACTTTTTTAAAAATTTTCAAACCCAAAACTTGTAACGCTGATGGTGAAACAAAGCCTTACATTTTTAGGAAGCTGGAAAAACTGGAGAATATCGCGTACTTAGCTGGGATTGTTCTTTCCGCTGGGGTGGTGGACTTCCATGTTTATTGGTGGCTATACTGAAGACATGCCTATGAGTGTGGTGGATGTTTACAAGAATGGCTTTATAGAGCATAAGAAAATTATGGTAGTATTTCATTTCAGTTTTCACAAAAGAGTACAAACGTTTCTATGCTATGACTTTGTGAGCTGTTCCCGCTACTGGATGAGAATGCCTCAAGCCTGGCGTAGTCTCTATGGGTGGGAAGATGATTTATTCAGGCCAGCATATTGCTAGCTTTCTTCCCCCCCCCCCGCAGCTGACCAGCCAAGGGGCACTTCTGGGAAGATAATTAAATATTGCCGGCCCGTTTTGAGTGTACGATTATGTGGCACTGGAACAAAATTGAAATGTAAGATTTGCTAGACTGAATCCATTGAGCTGGTCAGTCAGATTCTGTGTCCTTGCTGCAATGGAGGCTTGGACTACGTGATTTGTGGGGAGGTATTGAACTTCATAATAGGTACCTTTCAGGAAACAAAAGCAAAGTACTATTATAAGGTACTGTTTAGAGCAGCTGATGCCCTAAGTCTAGAGAGCTGGTGGTTGGTTTGTGTGCTGAGTAAGGAGAATTTCTGTCGCTTTATACACAAACTCGATGTTGTATTTAAGCTACGTTAGGAGGCTAATAGGATATTGCCGTGAAAGCGTGCATTTCACTCTGCGAAGAGTTCCGAGAGTTTGGTGGGTCTGTCAAGCATGCGGTTTGGCGTTTGTACTTTGGGAATAGCAACACTGGCAAAATGCATTGCATACTTTTTATACCTTCTGTAAAGTGAACAGTCAGAAGGAAACTATGTAGACTGAAGAGTTTGACTGTATTTGGGGAGAAAAAAATACCCAAACCTTTTTAATAACCATTGTGCTTCTCATTAAACAGCCTAGCTGTGTTGGTGAGGTGGGCCCTCCAGGTCGCAGCTCTTTGGACAACGTGGAGATGGCGTATGCTCGACAGGTGAGTGTCTTGGAAAGGAACGCAAAAGCACAGTTTTTAACGTTTTCTGCAGAGATAAATACATGCATCGAAAGATATAGCAGGCTAAGCACAAAAGCATAAGCACAAAAGCGCCTGGGTTCAAAATGTAATTGGAAAATATAAAAATTTAGCCTGACTTTTCTTGGAAACGTACTTGTCTATCTACTACAGAATTTGCATTGAAAGGACATCCTGAACACCTTTGTGGTTATAGAAGTAATTTATCTTTATATAGTAAACTGAAATTTTTTTATGCTTAAAAAATTTTTTTTAGAACTCTTGTCAAAGTGTAAAATTAAGTAAATGAAGACTTTAAATTCCCTTCGTTCTTACCAAAAAAAGGTGCTGAAGTCCTAATCCTGATGTTTGTCAAACGATATGCCTTTTTAATGAGATCACTTACGTGGAGCTGCAGCACATCAGCTATGCATTAGTATGTCTGGCAGCATTAGAACGCCTCTGAAATTTTGCAGAGAAAACTGATAAATCTTTACATAATCAATTTGTTACTTTTGTTATTTGAGAAGTTCTGTTTACTAGCACTGTTGGAAGCAAAATGAAAGATAAGGACTTGATTTTTCAAAATGGAATATGTAAAACTACATAGACGAAGTGCTGCCTAATTTGCACACAGTTGCACTTATTGTGTGCATTGGCTCAATCTTTGCTCAGCCAGACAGCAGCTTGTACATCTGTTTTGCCATGTCTGCGTTCATGGTAACTGTGTGAGGAAGTGAATCACAAAATAGGATGCGTGGTAGTGCTGATAGTGTATGTTTGATTTAGCGATTGTTTTTAGTATGTTATTCTGCCTTATCTCCACTGTAACGTTCCTGCATTAGGGGCCTTCCTCGTGGTATGATTGCATGCACGCTTCCCCAGTATTCTGTGAACATAGAAAGCTCAACCTTTCTAGCAACAGTAGTGATGAGAAAAGCCTCTGAGTCACAGTTTCTTCCTGGGACGTGAGCAGGTGGACTCCCATCACTTTTGCAGCCTGCATGCAGACTGGTTGCGCTGTGCCTCGGAAACATGGCATTTGCGTACTGGCTTCTGCTACCGGAACGGTTCGTGCAGCCGTCGTGTGCTGCTGGCAAGCCCTCAGCAAAACCTGCCGCAGCTCAGCTCTTCTTAACCCCACGCTGCTTGAGTGCAGAAGATCCTGTGTTTTAAGGCTGCTATCGTACAGGGCTCCTGTGGATTTCAGTGGGTAGTTGGGGCCGCCCTGAAAATCAGGCAGTCCACGTTGTTCCAGTTCATCATCAGCCACAAAACGCTTTTTAGTTATTTTTAAATAATTAATTGTTCTTCATGCGTTGTTCAGACTCTTTCACAGAAACACAGTGAAGTCCGCATGTGGGATTTCACTAATACTAGATTCCAATTGGGATCCCGAACTCAGCATCTTGTTTATGTGCTGGGATGTTGGTGAAGCAGTGTATGCAAGAAGGAAGGACTTATGGTACTCCAGCACCTTCTTTCCAGCACTGCGAATGATTATTTTTGGAGGGAGCTGGAAAGTGGAAAGTCTGGGCTGGGAGTACGATAAACAGTAGTAGAAGTAGCTAAGGAAAGACCAAGATTTCAAACAAAATTATCAGGGGGGGCATACATATAAGAAGGGGTTTTGGAGGGCCAGGTTCCCATGTTCTTTTTCACTGTGTCACAGTTCCTGAATACTTCTGCCATAAAACGGCAAAATTCTGTTTCACTCGTGTCAGCAGGCAGGAGGCTGCCATGCAGGGGAATATCACTGCCATTCAGTTGTCGGGTCTCTTCTGGATCTTTTTCTTCCAACGGTTGGATGTAATGAGTCTTAACACGACATTCAGTGCAATGCTTCGCCATGCGGAAGCCCTGAGCAGCTGCATTTCCGTCCTCCTTCAGGCAGGCCTGAGGCTTTGGGGTACTGTGGAAGTGCAGTTCATGCTGCTGTCCGTTCCTCTCTTGTGTCTAGATTAGAAGCAACTAATATGGGAGGGAGGCAGAAGGGATTTGTTGGGGATACTCCATTCTTGAAGCCTGGTTCAGATTTTGCTGCCATGGCCGGGGAGGGAGAAGGAGGGTAATATATATTGTTAAACTTGCTTACTTTTGGTATGTTTCAGATTTACATTTATAACGAGAAGATAGTGAATGGACATCTGCAGCCTAACCTGGTAGACCTTTGTGCTGCCGTTGCAGAACTGGATGATAAGGTACTGCCAATAAGTTAACCTAAAGAGATGTATTTAATCTGTTTACAGCTGTGATTAGCAGCTTGCTGACATTAGTGGAAAAAATACTGATATTGCCAAAAAAAACCTGCGTGGCTCCACAGAAAACACAGAGGCAATACTGGCATCTTCTCGAATACAGTGGGGCCCACCTGTGATAAACTTGGTAACGGTGAAAATCCCTTACCAAAATGAAGAAGAAAAGAACCTGGTTTCACAGCAGTGTCCCGTCGTGAACAGTGAGCTGTTAGGGGAAAAAGTTGCTTTTCATTTGAAATGAATTTTGTTATCTTTTTGCCTTCCCAATTATCCTTGTAGGCCGTATTCTTTGAGCAGTGTTAGCTGCAGATGGAAGGTATTCAATCAGAGCCTGCTATAGGGCCAGGCAAAACCCCTAAGAGTGACTTTAAACCAATGTTCTGTCTGTTTTTCCTTTTTTCCACTCCTTCAATTGTGTTGCTTTGATCCACCCCCAAAAAACAAAGGCACAAACTTAACTACCTTTGAGAAACGCACAGAGAAAAAATTGCAGGAGGTCAAGTCATCAAAAATCTCTGCAAATGAGGAGAGCAAAAAAAGCTATTTGGAAGCTGAGGCAGATGCCCTGGTCAGATGTGAGTTACAGATGTGCATCTTTGCTTTATACAAATCTTCATTTTTTTTTTTTAGGGACAGCATGGTGAGTTTCAATATTCTTGCTGCTTTGAAGCACTTGAGATCGAACACCTGCCCTTGCTGAAGCTAACTGCGCTGTTACTTCTCCTCAGTATTTTACTATTTCAGCAAGGATGTTCTGGTCCTGTAGGCGCTGCTATAGCTGCTTCTTTATGAACGTGCAGACCTGGATGGTGTTCAAACTTTTTTCCTAACCGAGTCTTTGTCCGAGTGATCGTTGTCCTATAAATGTTTCTCATCATAGCTGTGATGGTACAGCTTTCCAATGGCAACCAGAGCAATTGCTCTGACATAGTGACAGTATTTACTGAGTGGGAGGTAGAAGCTGGAAATGAGAAAGAGCGCTTAGCATCAAATAACCAGCCTCGTTTTGGAAATCATTGTTGATCCTGCATGACAGTTGCAGGTAAAATCTTTATACTCATCTTCTCCTTATACAAGAAGAATGCAGAGAATCCTGTAGACTCTGAATTCTGCTGGACAGAAGTGGCTTACCTTCATGGTTGCTTTCAGTGTCTCCCTTACAAATCTAAACTGACTGAAATTGTTCCCATACTTCTATGCTTTTTAAGCATAAAAATACCGTATAGCTCGAAACAGAGTTCCTTGCTCATGTCTGTACTAATCGTTGTTGCATGCAACGGCTCGTTCATAGAACATCTCTGAGATGTGGGCCATGGTGAAAGAAATGACCGACGTTACTCTGGTTCCTGCTAGCGATCCCTTGAAAGTCCGGACCAACATGGAGGTGCGTATGGAGTTCGTGAGGCAGGCTCTGCGCTACCTCGAACAAAGGTAAGGAGAATACTATATATAGCGCAGTTTGATAGTTCCTTAATAACAGGCTAGAATTACTTCAGTGTAATGTGGACAAGCGTATCACTAAGTCAACTGCCTAGTGCTGCTTTCATGAACGTCTGTCTATCTTTTCTGTTCTGTGGGACTTAGAGCAGACCCTTGGGGTATAGAACTGTTCTAGTTAAAAGGCCTTGAGTAGACCGGAGGTCCTTTAGAAGACACAAAGACCTTTTATTTTTCCTTCCATGTTGCCCTACAGATTTTATATCTATCATAGTGATAAGATTTTTCACTTCAGGAAAGAGATGTATATCCCCTCCACAGAAAAATTCTCCTTTTTCTGTACTTCCTTTCTCCTGCTGATCACCTGCCTGGAGCTAGTGTGGGGTGGAAGTGAGGACAGTGCTGTGGAGAAATCTGCGATGAGTCAGTCTGACCATGCAAATTCTACAGTGAAAGGTGTTTGTAAAATTTCAAGGGACTAGAATTGGAACATCTACAAATTATTTCCAAGACTGTGGAAAAAGTGGCCTGCCTTCTGTCTCAGCAAGTATCACGGGGGCCTAAGCTCCTTGACAGAGAAGATATTTGCACAGTTGCAGGCCATGGAGGAGACAGAATGGTTGTAGAAAGGGAGCCCAGAGCTGAATCCTCTGGATGGCAGTGTAACCTATTCACTGCTCATATGCTCACAGACCTGGATATTGTAGTGTCTCTTATCTAATAGCTGCCAACACAACACTGGCAGGATAGTTCAGCGGTGGAAAGCAAACAATAGGCGCAGCACAGCGGGTAGGTATTTGTCGCAGATACTGATCTGTCACGTGAGCGCTGGAAGCGCTGCAGTTTGGTACAGCACACTGGGAGGAGATGTTTTCACCTCCTGGCGCAGCTTCCTCTTTGCCCCTAACGGTGGTTGTCACACCTCATCAGTTCTCTTATTGCCCAGGGCTGGTAAGTAGCATGCCTGTCTTTTCATGGGTGAAAAGGCGCATCCGAAGAATCTCGTTTCCAGTTCTTCAATCACAGCAATGTGCAACAAGCGAGTTACTCATAACCCAATTTTCCAAATATCCAATTTGCTACATTGTCACAATCTCATTAACTGCTAGCTGAAATTAGGAATGCAGCTACAGTCCCTGTTCTCCGCCCTCACCAGTTTCCAGAAACTGGGCCCTTCACACTGAACTGTTTTAAAATCCATGTGCCTTGCTTTGTAGTTCCCCTCCAGCCCCAGCAGGCATTGGCTAACTGGCGAAGCAGACTCTGACACTAGCGTGTTTGCATGCACCACCAGCCCTTCGCATGTCTAGTGGGGAAATCTAGTGCTGTCCACAGCTGTTTTTGCATCAGTTGCTTTGGAGCAGGTGTTAGTGTTTTTAAGCCCTGGGGAGCATGTGCTTAACTCGGCAGTAAAGTCAGAGTTATTATCAAGATACACTGATACTTGCCTAAGTTTGGCATAGCTTTTCACAGTCTTGTAGTCTGGTGCTCTGTAGCTAGGAACCAAAGTAGGCAGTAGTGTGTATGCACTAGT